CCGAATCACCCTCACAGATCTCTTCCCTGGAAAAAAGAATCCAAGAGCTGTGTGGACTCAGCAGTGGGCAGACAGGAGCTATGACCAGCCTAAGGAGACTACCTGGGATTCTGATGCAGGAAGTTAATATGGCTTTTCTTCTGTTCCCTCCCGTACCTGTCAGGGGCTGAAGCCTGCAAACGGCGTTAGCAGTTTAACGGAATTATTTGCTAAGTGAGACACTGGTCACACAAATCGTGCTTTTGTCCTGGCCTGACTGAAGCAGATGGCAGTTGCAATATTAACTAGATAATCCAGGTTTTTAATGCCTTTTCTAACATTATTGATACAATATTTTCCTGATAAATGAGGAGCTTTTAAATACTTTGCTACTAAATATAGTTTTAATGATGTCTTCCTCTAGACTTTTCTCAAGTGTGTGGATGAGTTTGCTTGTGCCATTAAGGCCTGGCTTCTCAGCTAAGTTAAAAAATAGTGTGCAAAATGTGCTGTCCATAAATGGAAATTTCAATAAAAGGCAGATAAAGGGTGCAATAAATGTAATACTGTACCTATCAGAGAGAAATCAAATTTCTTTTCTAACAAATTGATGAAATGGTCCAACTAACTGCCAGCCAGACTTTCTGAAATAAAAGTGCTCAAAATCTTAAGCAGTGAAGACCATATAGTAGAAACAATAAGGAATTAACTGAAATTTTGGAAAAACAAGTATAAACCAGACACCTGATCTACTAATGTCACCATAGGTGATGGTCTGACTGTAAGCTTCGGCAAAGGTCCAGTTTTCATTCTGAATATTTTCACCTACCCCGCAAGGACAATTCCAGCAGTGCCAGACAACGCAGGGAAGGAAGCTTACTAAAAATCTGTAAGATGCCCTTGTCCCTTCTAGCGCATAGTGAAGACAAAATTAATTTTGCTTTACCTTGGTTGTGTAGAGGTTAGTCGTCTACATCAGACCTAGTGATCCCACTTCCTCTCTACAGTCAGTGTTGAGAAAGAAGCAGTTCTAGAGGTACTTCAGCACAATTATCTTGGGCATCTACCTCAAATTTCCATTAGGTGCCAACAGGGCTGTACTCTGTATGGCTCTTCTTTTTTATTACATGATACAAAACAATGGTAAAGGAAACAAAATGTTTCTGCTACACTTTCATTTCCAGATCTATTTGTAATGTATTCTGCCAGTCACTATTACAAACTGCCCAAGGAAATGAAAAGCTTACAACAGGGATTTGGCACAGTAATTTCTACTCTTAGCAAATTCTCCAGATACCTGAGCTACTTGTGAAAGGAAAGGATTGTATATATTATTATAAGTCTTGTACCTAAACACACTGTGGTGCTACTTCCCAGTTTCATCTGGTATCTCGAAACAAAAGTACAATACTATAGTATTTTTCAAAGGAATAACTCGCCAAAGTATTACCTGACTGCTTCCTTCCAAGAGACACTGTTGAGCTTAAAGAGCAGTATCTTTAGCCCGTTTAAATCAAGGTAGCTCTACTGAAACCAACAAAGCCTTTGACTCATTGTATTATAAAACTTCCATTATTTTACTGAAGTTATGAGATGTAATGAAGGTGGATCATGGATAATCAGGCTGTAGCAAACAGAATGTTAATGCATATTATGCTAATTCTTCGGCTCCAAGGCATACGCCCTCTCATATTAAGGAATCGAAGAGGAAAATCAGAGCTGGGCAAGAACTCTATAGCTCTGGCTTCCCTCAATGCAAGTTGCTTGGCTCCAGTGCTCCTGACTCTGAAGTTCACCTTACGACTATTTTTAATGTAATCTGCAGAAAATAGTCAAAAGTAGATTTAATTGAATTGCACATGACATTTTGAATGATAGGGATATATTATATTGTCTACACTGATTATTGCTCTTCCCATGAACACAGCAGTTTGAGGGAAAAAGAAATGTCAGAATTGATATAAGAACATATTCTTAAGAGAAGCGATCATAATCCAAAGAGAATTCTAATTGCAATTGAATTTAAAACTTTTGGAGCATGTCAAATATAGACAGAATCATGGAGCAAAAAAAGAATCGGTAAAGAGGAATTTAATCAGTATTTTCAGCTTGAAAACATCTTATGCTGTCACTGTAGCCAAATTATTTCTATGCATTTCTCAGTGCACACACGATGTTCTTCAGAAGTTATAATTCAGATGTGCTCTTTTCAAAATGCATTGAATTTATACCCTGCAGTCCACTGTCTGGAAACATTGCTCAGCAGACGATGGCCGAGTCATCTATGCAACACAGTCAAAATACCAAAAGAACTATACAGACTTCAAAATGGCAAGCAGAAAAATAAACTGTTACCTGGTAGATATCAGTCTAGATATATTTTTCACTGCAAATTTTGTTTTAATTTAAGCAAGCATACCTTCATGTTAACTAAGAAAAAGCAGCTTTATTACGTATTTCAAACTCAAAACTTGTCAATTGTTGATGATTTTACTCCAGACAATCTATTTTTCACTTCTAACTTGAAATCTTTGCAGTGGAACTGCAGTACTGACATCTCAGGTGGCTTGCGTTGTAGCTAACACGACTGACGCAGACCCTGGTGTGGGAAATGTAACTGTGTGCTCTGACCAGCCCACTGCTCGAGGGCTGTTTTCTTTATTTCCATGTCTGGCTGGACCTGTTGGAGTGAGAGCAGGATCCCATCAGGACACATCGGACACGTCACACAAGGATAAGCCCATCTGATAATTCCTACCTGTGTAGGAAACAGAGTGGAGGAGAAAGCTCTTCAAGGTACTCTAAAGTGAATTTGTGCTATAACATTTATACAAGTTATTGCATTTATGCAATATTTATTCATTTATGCTATTCCACGAGGCCTGGGTGGACATGTAAAATCACGTTGCTCAGGAATGGAAAACTTTATACATAGAAATAAGTAATTTCCTGTTTGTAATTACAAATGTACCAGATATTCAAAGACTGTGAAATTTCAAGCAAAGTACTACGTTTGTTTCCTTTTCATCTCTATCACTTTTTCTCTGTTCCAAGACAGTAACATGATTTCTCAAACTCTCTTCACAGAGACAGACCTGTCCCCTTAATCAGGATTCAATCACCAGCTTCATAGATCCCAACTAAAAGTAGCTTAACAAAGCAGCTAAACATCATGCTTTCTTTTTTAATTTCAGAAAATCAGTACATAAAACCACCTACTCCAGTGCAGTGGTGAATTTTATTCTAGAGTGGTCGCAAGACTTCTGGTTCGGTGACCTCATGACTGGAAACATG